TTTTAGTGAAATATCTATGTTTGGTAGCAGCGATTCCATAATTGCACACAAGTCAGGATTACGATACATTGATGTATCAATACTTTGACACATACACAGTCAGTATAAAGCATTCCCATTGGATGAAACAGCTTGTACTGGGTCAAATTGACTCCCAACATGACTGTGGGATTAGAAAAAGAGCTTTTTGCTGACAAGCATTATAGCTTTTCACATAGGAGTTGATCATGAGATGGGTCACACTCCCGATTACGTCGTCGTCTGATTATTGTAAACAGACTGTTACGAAAGTTTGGATCTGAAAAGCTTAGGTTGTTATGGTCATTGGTGTCCTCCTTTCAAATGTGGTTTTGCTGATGGACAGCTTTTAATGCGAGTCATTTGTTTTGGTATTACAGCTAAGGCTAGGACTATACGTATTCAGTTAGGTAACAGTTAAGATCAGGAATGTAGTGAAGAGGATTAAGGTTAGCTCGGGGAGTGAAAGAATGAATGCCGTCAGTAAAGGTCCTCACGTATGTTGTAAATTTGCTTTCACAAGAGCTGAAGCCCTGCACTCTAAAACCCATTATTTCCGACGGCATGTGCTGCTCATGGACCGATATCCCCCGTTCAAAGAAAAGAGTGGATTCATCTCAGTGGCCTTGTGCCCAAAGTTAATCTTACTTCATTCCGCTTTTGCACACAAACATTCCACGTCAAGGAGAAATGGCAAAGGGAAAGGAAACCAGAGGCACAATAATTAAGACCAAACAGGATGTACAAGGATGTCTGTCGAAAAAGCTCGCCGCTTCAATGTCAGCCTGTCAATGTAGCACTGAATGCTAGAAAGATAACATTGAAGCTCTCCTCCTGACTTGTAGATAAGTGTTGAGTGAGGTGAGGCAAGCTGTGTGTTATTTTAAAAGACATGTTTTTTGTTGTTTGACAGACTGCCAAGGCAACCTTTTGAGTTTTCTTAATGGTTATTATTATCAAAGACGTTGAAAGACATCATGCTCCTTTGTGAAATTGGGAGATTTTGAGATTTTGCTACTTTGAAAAAAGCAAAGAACTAAAGCTAGGGTCGAGTTTGGAATAACTAGCAACAGAAAGCTGGCTTTGATTCCCACCTTAAGGATTGTGCTTGTTGAGTTACAAAGTTGTGTGGGTTTGGGGGTTTGGGGGGGAATGCGTCTGGCTCTCTAGCTTTAGCTTGTGTCTTCTTAAGTTCATGGACACGGTTTGGTCGGTACATAGGTAGACAGGCAGAATTGATTCTATGCATTTGGTCAGGATAACCAGACTAGTCCAAAGCTATAGGAAATGAAAACTGCACCTGCAGTCCCTGCAACTGCAACTGCACTGCACCTAACCCAAACCTCCCCCACCTCTCAAAAACAGACTTCTTGAGAACTGATGTGTGTTTGCATCTGAATGAGTGAGAATCTTATCCTCACGTCTCTCCGCTTTTTGGTGTTGTTTTCCAAACATATTCAGTGTGCTGCTAATGTTTAGCAGCTTCATGCAGACGTACACAAATACACCATGATTCATCTGTCACCAGTGGGGTCATGTGGCAGTCATGTGACGCTGGCAAGAGCTCAGAAGGAACACAAAATGAGGGAAAAAAAAGGGAAGGGGGTAAGAATTGTTCTAGTCATAGAGAAACATAAACCACTGACACAGATACACACACACATGTATGTATACACACTCAGATGCACTGACAAAGCCCGGTGCAAGCGGAGAGCTCATTCTGCAAGTGGCCTATAAAATATGAATGATATCGTGCTATATTTTTATCAGCGAGCCTGAGGACATGTATGAACTGGAGCAGCAAAAACACTCAGTTTCTCCAGCCACAGCACTCGTTCTGTGTGTTGTACATGGGGAAGACTAGGCTCCACATGCATGCAAACATCGTGTATCTTCCAGTAATTTAGGTTCCTGTATGCATTTGCATCCAGATCATATGCCCATGCGTGTATGTGCATCGTTTTTTTTTTTTTTTACATTATCTGGATGTTTCTGTTGTGTAAAAACGGCGAGAGAAAGAAAGTGCATCCTTAGCCGTGTCTTGGGAGCTGCTGTCAGAACTGTGTATGCAGCTCGGAGAGTTAATTCACACAGCTGCCAAACAAACGCGTAGTTGGAGAGTGAAAAAAGAAGTGAGGAGAGGAAAAATGTACCTGCGTAGACCCGATAGCCAAGCAAACACACACACACACACACACACTGACTGCAGAAGGTTGCTGACTGTTAAAAAAAGCTTGCAGACTCTTTTCGACTCTTTTTTTGCACAACGGTTTAGTTAGACACACACTCTTCATTTTGAGCCCACTCATACTCGTTAGAACGTTTGAACAGTAGCCTTTGTGTAGGAGTGTGCTTTTGGCACAATGTATGAGTGTTTTGTGTGTGTGTGTGTGTGTGTTTGGTTATGAGAGTGTGAGAGAGCTAGACAGCGGGAGGATGTACTTGAGACAGAGTGCGAGAGAATGAGTTTGTCTGTGTTTTTGCTGGTGCATGTGTTTGAATATGAGGCCAAGTGAATGTGTGTTTGTGGGCTTCACACAACAGGAAAAATAAGGATGGAAAAAACAGAACAGGAAAAAGAAGAGAGAGAGAGCAAGAAAAGCACAAGGGCCCGTCTTCAGAAAGCGCTGACAGGTTGACAGGTCTGCTGAGACCCACAGAAACAAACATATAGAGACAGAACGAGGGAAATGGAGAGAGAAAGTGAGTGAACGTAGGGAGAGTAACTCGAAGGATTCTGAGGAAAGAGAGAAAGCAAGTTGACAAAGAAAATATTTCACCTTACCAAGCGGCAACCTCTATTGAGTGTTGAGAAATGCAGCCAATGCGCAAGTACATGAAACTGCAGTTCCTATAGTGTCCACTGGGGACTTGCAAAAAAAAAAGAATCCCCTCGATAAAATGCCCTTATTTACAGCAGAAACAAAAGTTTTTTAATATCTCATTTTTTTACTATATGAAGGCTAAGTAGGAGTTTTGCATAAACTCTCATAATTAGGGGCGTGGCTGAGTTGACTGACAGGCTGTTTCTTTTTTCCAGGAGGCTTAAGGCCCGCCTCAGCTCCACCTCCTATGGCTTTTTCTAGACCAATCAAAAGTTAGATAGAAGATAGAATTTTGTTTAATTTCCTTCATTATGGACTGTCACATTACTTCTAGATCTGAGTGAACTGTCAACAAACTTAGCTTTTTTTGCCTCATTTGTATATCACCAGTTTGTCACTTTATTGCACCTAATAAAAGTAAAAAAAAGACATGGGATAAAAAACATGTACAGGAAGTAAGAAAGTGAAGGCTGCAAAGCAAAAGGCAGGAGGTAAGAGAAGAAAACATGTATGCGACTTTTCAGAACTGAAATCCAGAGTCACTTGATTGAGAGGGGTACAGTCAAAAGTGGTTATCATGTAAAATTGTCTGCACACAAGCCTTGCAGAAGTACCACTGCAGTACTATTGAAAAATGAAGTCTAAAAAGTCAGCATTAAATGAGACCTCAAGCTTTGCCCCAAGTAAAAGATCTCATTTTTAAACAAACTAATTGATGCATTTTTATCAAGTAGAAGGGTAAAAAATGGTGAAAATGACAGAAATGACTTTGCATGGCTTGTATTTTTAGCTCTCAGGAGAATAAGCATCGACTTCAAGGTTATCAACACTTACAGCATTACAAAGTCAAATTGCAAGAGTTAAAGCTGGACCACCCAACAACACCTCACACCTGATTGTAGAATAAGATTATACACAACGTGGGATAAATAATAACTCACATTGTACACTTTTGTATTCTTACTAAATATGGGGACAGCAGCAGTCATCTGACATCCCCACAAGAAGAAAGAATACAAAGTTCAGACGGTCACAGTGAATGATAAGAGACATTTCCTACACTTTCTGATAGCCTAAAGGGAGCGAAGGAGCATAGAGCCAGAGTTGGTAAAGGGGCTCGCTGTTTCTGGGACTCTGTTGGAATGAGAAGAGCCTTGAAAATAAAGCCCCGTGCTGGACTCTGTCAGGAGTGAAGGGAGAGAAAGAGAGAACGAGTAGATAAAAGGGTGAGAGAGAGACATAGATGGACTTTGGCTGGTTGAAGAACAGAAGCAGAGAGTGTGAAAGAGAGAGAGAAGGAAGGAGAGGGTGAATACCAACTATTGTTGGAATTCCGTAGCAACACGCAGCGCTGAGAAAAGAGGGGGAGGTGTGTGAGTGTGTGTGTGTGTGTGTGCAGGGGTCAGTGGGTTTTACGCTCTGTTCAAGTTGTTTATAGTAAGAGATGTGTCCAGTTCTCTGTTGGAAGCCTATAGCGACTGAGATCTTAAATAATTAGCTAATCCGGACACGAGTCTTTAAACCAGTACTACATTTCAGACCTATGTGTCAACACTCGAGTTAAAGTCCAACTTACCCCAGTTTTTAAAAAAAATGCTGCTATCCTCTGTTGTAATGTGGGCTAACAGGTGCTTAGCATGTATTGAAGGCACAGTGACACTTGACCTCAAGGCTAAGATTAGCATGTTAATACCAAAATGACTGTGCTAGCAGATTTAGCATGTAAATCCTGCTGTATTGTCATTTTATATCTAACTAGTCCGCCATTTGTGGATGGATTTACTATAACAACAAGCTTTATCGCTCTCCAGAGGGTGAAGCGGGGATGCAGGTACATGTTCAGTTACTTTCCAGTTGAGTGACCGTCTTTGGTAACTGCATTTGAGGGATAAAAGCAATACGTGTGTGTATTTCTATACATCTATCTCTGAAGATTGACGATGGATCTAAGAGAGATATTGGCAAATATGTTGACGTGGGATTTTTTTTCTCGCTTCCTAATATCAGTATCCGTCCTGAAAATCCGGTATCGGTCACGGCGGAGGAATCTCAGAAGATATCTGAATGTTTTTAACCCACATCTGACACTTAGGTCCTCGATTTATTGATTTTCCTATTCTTCCCACTAATCCCACATTGTGTCCTCTTTTCTTCCAGGACCCTGCCGGCATCTTTGAATTGGTTGAGCTGGTGGGAAATGGCACCTATGGGCAAGTGTACAAGGTAAGATAACACACACACACACACTTTGATATACAGGGTTGTCTTCCCTATGATAGTACACTCCATATAATCAGCTTTTATTTATTCTCGCCAAGTAGCATGTATGGAATAAAGAACAGAAATGTGCTCAGTGTCTGAAGGAAATAGAAAGACAAGATAAAAGCAGCGCACAAGCTTAAGAGAAATGGAGCGAGTATAAGAGAGACTAAAATGCGAGAGAGTGGAAGCAGAAACTGGGACACATTAAAGTGCTTTTACAAGAATTTCCCTTACTCCTTCTTCTTGACTGTCTCTCTCTACTTCGCTGCTGCACTGTACTTCGATTCTCTATCCTTACATTTTTGCCCTATAAATGAGATATTTCATGGTGATGTGTTTCCCCGGGGACACAGGAAATGCTTGTTCTCAATGTGACCGACGTTGTGACATCACTGTGGTTTGGGTGTTTGTCTGTCAGCTGCACTCAGCGGTGTCCCGCTGTCATTTAAAGCCTATCTTTCGGCCCATGTCACAGTCTGGACTTCCTCCTTTAGCGGTGATGCGCAGCCGTTCTCTGGTCTTCACTTCCTGTTTCCTGATTCTGCTGTTCTCATCCTGTCCCTGTGCAGGATGTGGCACCAGCTTGTGACACTCTTGTTTGATCACATTCAGCAGCAGTAAACGCGTGTTTGTTAAATGAGTGAAGGTATGGGCATGTGAAGCCCCCCTGTGTGAGTGCATTGTGTGTGCATGACACAGAGAGAGTCTAATGGAGCAGGGAGTCAAGGTCAGGTGGTGATGGAGAATAGCTTTTCTTACACCTGATAAGGTCAGATGAAAGGTCAGTCAGAGGTTGGACATGTTTCTCCACACTTCTGGAAAGACTTCCTGAAATGTGTGTGTGTTCGAAACAGAAGATAGGAGAAACCCCACAAAAGCAGCAGAGAAAAAGGAGAGTTATGCGTACCCGTGTATTGCTGACTCTGCTGTCTTGGTGAAAGTCACGGCTCATTTACTCGCTGACATTCAGCCACTCTGTTCCGATACATTACCGAGCCAAAGATCGCCCGTGGCAACAGCACCGGCCTGTTGGGTCTGTGGCAGATACAGCTGATCCATACTGGTTTGTGATCGGGTGTCAAAGTGTGTGTTATAGTCTGTGGACCGTTTAATGAAGGTGATTCATCTTGTGTTGGGTGAAATTCAAATCAAACATTTCTACCTTTGTTTTGTTTCCTGAGGATTTCAATGTGCACATATTTTTAAGGCAGCGGGAGCCCACGCACATCGGACATGTAGCTGCAGGAGCTCCCCCCCCAGGTTTGTCCTTTTGAGATCTCAGGTCTGTTTAACTAGTGAGACCTGTTCAGGCAAAGCATTTCACTGAAATTTCCACCAGATACGGGTTCATTGGGTGTCCGCTCTGATCCGTGACGGCTACGTGCACCCTCGTACGCCAACACCTACAGGCTGCGTTATCAGTGGAAACCCTTTAAAAAACACAACGACAAACACGGATAGTTCTGAACCATCAAAACAGATTGTTTCATTCTGAAAATAAACCGGTTGGCCTGGAGACAGAGCCAACGCGCATCAGGTGGAATTTAGGCTTTAACACATAGTTCAATACACAACCTTCAGAACACATACAGAGTATTAAAATAACTTTCAATCAATGAAACTTTTATACTCAGACAGCCTGGATTCAACAATTTCACCAAAAACTTCCGGGGTTTATATTCTAAGCTTACTCTGTTTGTTCCAGACATCAGGTGCAGAAACACTCAAAGCTTTCTTTCCAAATTAATTGATACTTTTAGAACAACACCTTGCACAATTTCCAGAAAGCAAAGGGTGCTGTTTCCATACTTCTAGATTGAGAGAGCTGATAAATGATTGGAATGTGGCTCAGAATGTTGTTTTAGCTAAAAAAAATAGCAGTTTTGTGCTAAATATCAGCTGCTTTTTATGTATCAAAGGATGCAAAATAACTTCAAGTTTGGAGTTTTCCACAAAATGTATTATAAGAATCATTTTTTACTTGCAGGCCTGAATTATTAGTTCAAAGGCAACACAAAAAGTTCCAAATTCTTGTCTATGCTTCTAAATATTGCCCGTTCAGTGCTGTAGAAGCAGATAAAGATGCAAACTAGAAGAGATAGGTTTCACACACAGATAAGCGGCACAATCGAGCAAAAATGCCATCTATTTTAAATTCCTCATGCGGTTGAGATCCCTCGTCTCCGCCTGCAGAGGATCAGCTTCTTGTGAGCAGGTGAATCTGTGACTCACTCAGATGATAAATTGACCTTCAGCCTGCTGGGTATTAGTGAACTGGAATTGCTCCTGCTCGCGCTGAACCATTTTTAGACACTTGTTATATCAGAAAAAAAAAGTAGCATATAAGAACGTACACTGCTGAGGCATCGTCAGTATGGATCAGTGAATACTTGAGAAGGGAACACATGCAGGAGTGTGGCTCTCATACACAGATACAAAGTCAGGAGCGCTGTAAACATGAGTTTACTCGTCTTTGATTCCAAAAATAAATTAGATTAGCTCAGTGGCGAGGGGCCAGTTTAGCTTTGATGTGTCTGTGTGAACACTGACTTCAAGTGAACAAGTTGTGCTCTGATTTCTTCTTCTTCTTCTTCTACCAGCAGTTTTCAAAAACAAGCATCACGAGACAATTCCTCTATCATAGCTTTTATTTTTTCATCCCTTTTTTTTTTATTTAGCAGATAAAAGTGCATAGCAGAGTTAATCAAATTGTCCTTACTGCAAAGTGACTGTTTTTCATTTCACTGAAACTGAATTATTCATATCCGTGGATAGACAAATGTAGACTTACCTTTGGGCTTATTAAAACTTTCATAACCTCGTTGCATGGAGTGAAAAATGCATCAGGTAAAAGCTAAAAACAGCCACCTCCCTGAACAGGTAATGCTTTTGACATTAAACAGATATATGCAGGATGTATGAGTCATTTTCTCTCCTTTTGTCAGGTCACAACACTTTCTCATTTCAGGTACTTTAGTTTTTCTTGCAGCATAAACAGACTCTAAAAGTTCATTTTGCTGCAGTCACTTGTATTGGGTGCATGATATGTACATAAGTCATGATACGGTACAGTACACAGTACGTAAAACAATTATATAATGAAACATAACGTTTTCTGTTTAACCGAAGAATACGAAATGTCCCTATAAACATTTAATGGCAGGATTTATTCACTGCTATTTAGAGTCAGGTTCACTTCTTAAACCCTTTTCAGCCCTGGGCGCTGGTATAGCTCGGTTGGCAGAGCAGGCGTCCCATGTATGGGGCAAGCAGCAACCACCGGTGTTCAAAAATGAAGCCAATGTGGAAGCAAAAATGCCTGTTAAATAAAAGTTGTTGGCCTGGATCAAAAAAAAACCGCTAGTAGTCTAAATAGTTATTTTCCTCATGGGCACACACTGTACGGGGGGTGAATTCTCTGTAACATTTGATTTTATGAAGAGTTATGCATAGTTGGGTGCGAGGCTGACCTGATTGAACGGCCGTTCGTCAGGCGTCTTTAATACCGCCTCTGCTCCAACTCTTAGACTGCCTTATTGTTGACTGAGAGCAAGGCAGAGACTTCCAGCATGGTGGCTGCTGCTGATGATCCTCCAGAGCCCCCTGCAGTAACAGATGGGTGACGTCAGTCAGGCTTCATCCATTAATTTTTTACAGTGGCCTGGAGGCCTCGTTGCACTGGTTGCAGGTTAGACCCCCAATTTATTGCCATACTGATATTTGTTTCCCACTCTAATAAAGCTAGAGGTGTGAGAAAACCCTGCATACATGCTCCTTTGTGTCTACATAGGGGCTGGCACAGTGTTTTATGTCATAGGTGACCAGCACTTCTGTGTGTCTGCCAATGAGAGATAACAGGTTTATCAACAATTCCATTAACCCATCTAGTTAAATGATACAAATCTGCTCCACACTGCTCTTTACTCTCTATCTCTCTCGCTCTCTCTCTCTCTCTCTCTCCGAAGTCTCATCTCAATTAAAAAAAAATGCGATGAAAAGTCGTTCCAGGTTGTTGTTTTTTCTTGCAGCTTCCCCGTCAGCAAAAAATAGTTTGGCCGAGAACAGTGATAGACGAGGATCCGTGGCGAAAAGATAATTTTAGCTCGACTTCTTCCTCCGTCTCCCTTTCTCATCTTACATCTCCGCGGCGGTTTCCTTTCCCTTGTTTTTCCTCCTCTGTCTTGTCATCCCTTCCCTCACTTCTTCATCCCTGGCTTCTGCACATCTCTTATCAATTCATAATCAAGTTTTTCTTCTTGTTTCCTCTGTTTTTTTTGGACTGAATCTTCCCTGGTGAGCTGTACTTAAGGGAGCAGCCTTTGCCTACAGTTTGTGTATATATAGCTGCTACTGGCTGCTCTAAAAGGGCCATAAATAGAGAACACGGGTAATGCTGAATAATTAAACACATTCTCCTTCCACTTCTCTCCCCTCTCTGTCCTCCTCTCTTACTGTTTCCTTTGTAACTCTCTCTCTCATCATCTCCCTCATCAGTATTTCCTCACTCTACATCTCCACGTCTCCCCCATTCACTCTCATCTTTTTAACCCTTCCTCCTCGCCCTTCACTCAACTCCTTTCTTGTTTTATAACGCTTATGTTTCAGTCCTGTCGTCCCCTTCTGTCTGTCTTTCTGATGCCTGTGAATATTTGATGGGGCTTATGGGAATTCGGGACAAAGGGGGAGGCGTGAAAAGGGAGCATCCCCGTCCAGCCATTGGCCGATACGTTCTCCGAATGACTGACTGACAGGACAACTTATTGAATGACAGACTTATTGATCAGCTAATTGATTAATCACAGCTCCGGGTCGTTCCCGCGGGACACGTAATTTTTCTCCCTGATGCATTCAAGGACAATTCGAGGGGGCAACTAATCATATCTCGGACACAAGTACACAAACGCTGCACAAACATGTGAGTGATGACACATGCAGCCCGAAGTCTCATCGACTGTCTCCTC